TTTAAATTTCGTAGGAAGTTAAAGTATTTTAGTTTTTTAAGTTTGAAATAAAATTTTAATTTTTTAATTGGAAATTATTTTTTAACAAACATATTCATTAAGCAAAACTTTTCTTAATGATGAACCCTTTGCTGAATTGTGCACAAAATATAATTTCACTAACAATGGAGCATTATGTCCGCATAGGAGATTATATAAGGTAACCAGAGTTGGTTGTTCGCAAAAGACGAGATGCTGACGGTTTCTCAGACAATCAATCGGATGCAGATAACATAAACTTTGAATGGCTGCTTAAACCTGACGACGACTCATCAATGAGAAAAGACGACTAAAGAATGATATATGTACATGCAAGGAAAATTAAAGCATCGAAGACACGCTTGCAGATTCTATATTCCATTATCGACCGAATGGCCAAACGCAACGTTCAATGGGAACTGCGAACTTGGAGGAGAAACACAGGTGGTCAAGCTGTGGCGAATACAGTGGCGTGTCATAATGTCCAGTGACATAATGTCCATGAACGATATGGTACACTAAATTCAGTCATAGTGTCCATGGACGTTATGACAACTTCAAAAGTGTCAGAATGTCAAGAGTCCATTTATCAAAAACAAGTCGAATTTATAGAAGCCGGTATTCGAAATATATTCGAAATTTGCGCCCTGCGCCCGGCCGAAGAATGGCTATCCAGGACACCTGTTTAAAGGAATCAAAAACGCTACATACATCAAATTTCGGAGCAATTCTTTTCAGGATAAGAGTGACCCTTTCCTAAATCCTAAACAAATTTTCCAATACATTTTTGTTTTAGAAGTGTGACAATGTCCATGAACATTATGACACTTTTTAGAATTGTCATAACGTCCACGGACACTATGACCCATTTTGGTGTGTCATAACGTCCATGGACATTATGTTACTGGAGATATGTTACCAACAAATATTATGTAGTTTTTACTGAATGTACTTTCGTCTGATGTCAGAAACTCTGTTTCCTGGACGTAATTCCTAAGAATTTTCCGAACAGTGCTCATGAGAAATGTTATATCCGGAATAATAACACTCCCAAGATATTTACAAGATCTAAATTCGGCGAAAGCCTGACATTGTCTATGAAAGTTCTCCAGAGTTTCACTCTCCTTCTACATGCTCTACAGTCGTCTGAATTCGAACGTCCAATTTTGTATATCAACATTGTGTTTGTTTTTAGGTTCGTCAGGTTAACTACCTCGAGCTCCTTTCTCTATTTTGTTGCCGACTTCTCTTGAGTGGTTGGTACATATGTAATGTAAACCTTACATCTGGAAAAGTATTAGTTTAAGATTTCCTACAATCCAATTCGGTCTTAGATTTAACTTTATCACCTAATATCTCCCTAATTGCTTTCTGGCTGTCTGTGAATATGTTAAGCCCTGGGGGCGATAGTTGACAATGGCGTATATAAAAATGGATAAATTGAACAGATAGGGCCTTTTGTTTTTTGTCAATAAAATCGCTAATTTTGGCCGGACATTTGTTTTGATGCAATATATTATAATCAACAATAAAATCGATTCTGAATTTTTAGTTAGTTAGGGCCGTTTGCGTTTTAGGTGACGATATGTATATTTCAATGAGAGGAATATCTATTAACGTTTCCAGAGCCGACGTATAACTCATGGCACCACTTATACCCATGCAGCATATACACTGAACTTGCTGTGGTAGTTTGATATTACACTTTTTGTCCAAATAAGACCACCAGAAGCCTAAATTAGAATTGGTCTAATTATACTTTTATATAGCCAATGTGTCATAGTAGGACTAAGGACCTATTTCATGCCTTGGTTCTCCTACATAGCGCCCAGCATCGTTCCTATCCTCTATGTGGTGTCTCCATTTAAATTTCCAGGTAATTAGGCATTTTTTGTCTATCTTGTGAAAAGACAGATTTCGTCTTCACTTGGTTAATATTGAGGCCTTTCAATAGAGCCCAGCTCAAAGCTGTATTCAGAGCATCTTCAGCTCTTATACACCAGTAATTTGTATCTCTCCCTTTAGAAGTATTACGACATCGCCTGCATTGCAGACATGTTTAAGTTCTTTCTTGGTAAAGTGTCCTGTAGTGTACCGCGTAATAGTTAAATCTATAAAAGTATGTACTTAGGAATGACAAAGCACCAGGCTTGGATGAAATTAACATGTAAAAGTCTACATTCGATCCACATCTAGGGGATATTTTGACCATTAGAAAGAACTTCTGGACATTACATGCACTTCGCTCTGAGCTCTATTCCCAACGATTAACGAAGTGCTGTATACCATTTTTTTGATTCGAGTACGCTGGTTTTAGGGATTATTAATCAGTCACAGATAATGGAAACACACTTCATATTATTGTTGCTAAATCGGTGGAATGGCGATCTGTATTGCACATTTATAGACTTTGCTGAATTTTCGATATATTTTACCACCTGGCTACCTGGCAAATGCTGAAGTACAAAGAATCCAATTCGTTTCTTATAAGTAAGTAATGGAGGTGTAGGACAAGTAATCGACGTTATAATGGCTAAGGCAATCGTTAATAGAAGAATCATTATTTAGTGTAACTAGACGTCTTGAAGGTCTCGACCATTTCGATGTCACACACATTCTACGATATGTCAGTCAAACTACAGCAAATACCACTGAACAATACCACCAATTCTCAAAAGTTCTAAATAAACATCGTAAATATTGAAGATGTCCTATCGTTCAGTTATCAGACGGCTCACGAGATGATATTGTAAATCAAACATTTTGAACATTGCAAAAAGTATGAAAATTATCCCAAAATTATTGGGGGTCTTAGTTCCTCATCTATTTTAACACACGTTCTCTGTTATATGCTGCATTCCTTGCATGTATGTATTCATTGCATACTCATTACGAAGTCTGATAATCTTGCCGATTGATATCTGATACAGAGACATGTGAGAAAGATTAGGGGAAACATCAAAGCAATAGAAGAATACGCTGACCCATTTACACCTGGAGAAGATAAATTGAAGCAGAAACAAACTAAACTTTAAAGGCCGAAGACCTGAGCCGAAGTTATCAATATTTCAAAACTTTGCTCAATAAATATATCTGTGTATAGTCAGATATTTCTTTACAATTAAAAGTTTAACTTAAGAGTTCTCTATATTAATTACGTAAAACTAAAAGCCTAATTAAATTATTATTTGTCCTTATTAAGAACTTTAATTCTTTTTTTGTTTTTCTTTTCAATAAAATTTTGTAAAATTGTAAAAACGTTATTTATTAATAATTTGATTTCAATGTTATTTGTTTTTTTTTATTTATTGAATACTGAATTTGTTCTTTGGTTTATACATTTTTGTTAATACTAAACACACTGATATAAATTATTGAAGTTTATATAATTTTTTTTCATTTTTATTTTATTTTCTTAATTTGTTGTAAGTAGTTTTCTTATTGTATTTATTTAAAATTTAAGTAACGTAACTAATGAAAGTCTTGCAAGTGAATATTTTATTAAATAATTAAGAGAATTTTCATTGAAATTGTTATTTCCAGGAATTTATTTAGATTTCATACTTAAATGTTCTAAATGTTTAGATTCGTGTATGTATCTGTTGTGATACAGTGGGAAATTTTTCGAAAAAGGAATAATAAATGTGTAATTTGGGTTAAGTTGAGTTTATATTTCATAGATTTTAGAGGTGAAAGACTCATGATTCCAATTTTGTGTGTTGTGATGTAATTTCCCAAAATTGTATAATATTTATACCCTACACCACTTTAGTGGGGAGGGTATATTGGGTTTGTGCTGATGTTTGTAACGTACTAAAATATTAGTACTATACCCACCTTTAAGTATACCGATCGACTCGGAATCACTTTCTGAGTCGATTTAACGATGTCCGTCCGTCCGTGTGTCCATGTAAACGTTGTTATCAAAGTACAGTTCGCAATTATCAAGATAATTTGATGAAATTTGGCATACACGTTTCTTCTGACCCAAGAACGAAGCCTATTGAAAATGTTTAAATCGGTCCATTATTTCACCTAGCCCCCATACAACTTAACCCCCCGAAAAGGGCTTTTGAGCTTATAATTCTGTATAATATAAATGTATCTCGATAAAAGTTAGCACAACTAAGTTTTATACAAGCCTTGATGACCTTGCCGAATTTCGAAATGATCGGACTTCATTTGACCCTAGCCCCCATACAAAGCTCCCCTTCGGAAATTGACTTGAATATCCGCAATTCACTTATTAACACTGTTATTGCAATGAAATTTATCACAGACAAATATTATATAAATATAAATCTATCTAGCCCATTTTATCGGAATCGGTTCACATTTGCTCCTATCCCCCATATAAAGCCTCTTTCAGAAAATTAGTTTTTCGTCAATAAATTACTTAAATAAATCGGAATCAAGGTAATATTCCAGATAAATGCTTTGTTATGGAAAATAGATCACATTTAATATTCATAACTGGTGTAGGGTATTATATGGTCGGCCACGCCCGACTATACTTTGTTGTTACTTGTTTTAAATTGTTTTTTTTTTTTGTGACATTGTCCCACTCTCCGAACTATTTAAGCTATTTCTTGGTATTGTATAGAACCAGCATTTATCCTGTTCTGTTTCCATACTTTCGATTATGAATTAAAAAGAAACACATCCATTTCCACTTCTCTGGAAGTTATGCAGAAATAACATGCATATGTTTCTGGTTTAAATAATCTACTAAATATTTTGTTATTCATATTAAATGTTTTAATTTAAATTTAATTAAGCTTTATTTCATACGAAATAATAAAAATCTATCTATTTTTCAAATTTAATTAATTTCCTTACAATTAATTATTAATTCTTGGAAAAAACCTGTTCTCTCATTACACAAAAAAATACTTGTGGATAGATAATTATCAAAAAACACACTTTAAATATAATGACTTCCTTAAAGTATTGCACAACTCTCTCTTTAGTCACGTTACTTATAGCCTTGCCGTTGCCGTCTGTCGAAAGAAAGTGAAGTTTAACGAATTTATAAGGAAATCATTGTGAAATATTTTTTATTGATTGTTTTAAAATTCCTTTCGACATTAAGAAACTGGCAATTTTTTATTTATATTTTTTTATTATTATTTATATTTTATTTAATTTTTTTTTTTTTGTAAAAATGTATTATAATATGGACGAGGAAATAGTAGGAGGTTTTTTTGTGTCTGTAAATATATGTTTAACAAGGGGTTTCTTCTCGTTTGTTTTTTGAGCTGTAATTTGATAATACATTTTTTTTGCTTCTTGTTCAAGAAACTCTCAAGTGGACAAGTTTGACATCTATTATTAATTATTATCATTAATAAGATGTTTTTTTTTATTAAAGCATACACTCCACAATAACAGTTTGACAAGGATAATGCCTAAAAGAAATTAAGAAAATACATAAATTATAGCAGGAAATCAATGAAAATGAATATGTTTGTATGTATTTATGTGCGAGTTATTTGTTTGTGCGCTTGATAAAACAATTACGGAAATTTAGACTGACTGATCTAGAGTTTGGTTTGTCAAAAACCTATAAACTGTCTGCTAGTGGAACTGGATTCTCAGAAATACAAAACTGTTGACTAGCGGTGGCAGTATAAAGAACAAAACAATTTCACAGAGGCTTGGAGATGCATTCGAAACACTAAGACGATAGATTGTATTAACTTCCATCTCCCCACGGGGGCTGTTACCTTGGTGAAATCTCAATCTTGGCGTTGTTAGTCTGTCGGGACTATAAAGTGGTGATGATCAAATGTATCCTCGGCCTTTCATTGGAGTCGAACCAGAGCAACATATAATCTGGCACTACGGGTGGCCAGTTGCCCGCAGGACTTGTCCTGGGTACTCAGTTGGTTAAAGTTCCTTCGGGATTCACGTAGTGGCTGTGGTTTAAACCCAAATTCGTGGGGAGAGAATGTTGGCTAAGAACTGATATATCCAATGCCATATATGTCTGGATTCTCTCTCCGTCGCTGTTGTCATCTCAACAGATGTGACAGAGATACTTATGCTTGATTCCTGAACCCGTTGAGTATCTCTTACTCTTCGCGTAGTAGGACGTCAGTATAGGTTCAGGGTATTTTCAGGTTGACACTTGGTAGTTGCCTGTCATTCCGTAGATTGTTCTTTATGGTCTGAGAATGGAACTGATGTAAGTTGGGAAACGATCAGGTAAGTCTCCTCTGCTCGACAGGAGACTAGTACTGATTTAGTTCTTTGTCACATTATCTGACATACAGAGGGATCCTGATTTATTTGCTGGGTATTTCTTACTACCAAATACGTCTCTGCCGAACCAACAGAGCCATCTCAGTAGTGTGGTAAAAGGTTAGGAAATGCACTGGAATAGGTCATTAGTTGATGGGGATTGCATTTTAAATAATTCAATCGTTCATGACATTATAAAGGTGGACATCTTCCGGTATACCGCAAGATTGATTTCACCTGATGTTGTGGTTGTCTCCCCTTTTATTGACTTTAGACCAGTGATTGATTTTTCCTTGTCGAAGTTTGCATTCGGATTGATCCCATGTCATGTCATTCCGCAACGGGGCTACTATGGCAAGAGATTATATAGCTCGAGTACTTCAGCAAAGGACCGGCACAGCCGGTAGAAGAATTTAGGGTCGCTTGGTACCCCGTCTCAAGTGTAGATGTAGAGTATGCGGGCCTTACCATCCGTATACCTAGAGTGAGTATGTTGGATGTATTTCTCAATTAATGTGTCCGATAAATGAGGTATCTGCTACAGGTATGATCCGTCTACAGTACGTTCGCTGTAAGTAAGAACAATCTATCGGCTTATTTTATGTCTTCGTATTTCAGTCCACCGATTAGGTCTCTAGGTGCTGTTCTGAATCAACAGAGGCCAGCCCAACTGCGTGGTTGTAAACGGAAATGATTATTTTGCATCTCGGAAGTTAAGCAAGGGATCAGCAATGTTCAAAGATTACATAGCTCGAGTACTTGAGCAAACTTCTTGTACATGGCCCGGCAGGACTACATAAGAAGCTCAAAGAGGTCGTGGTGTGCCATTTAATAAGCTTCCTCTGTAAGACCAACACGCCAGATGTACAGCCATAATGTCGGATAGTACGAGACTAAAAGGTAGCCTGTCTCTATTTACGAATGGCTTGAAAGAGGGTAGAGAGAGTAGAGGGAGCTGAGAGACATTTCTTTCTTAGAACGTAATACAATTAAATTCGCTATGGTATTACAGAATTTCAAACGAAAATCACCGAATATTTATAGCCAGACAAGAATAAAATTCCTAACAGGTATGTGTGTGTATGGATCAATAATGCCGTGCATCTTTAAACATGATAACCAAGAATTTAATATATGTGAGGGGACTCGGATTTTCAAGCGCAACTGTTTTTCTGTTAAACTGGAAAAAAAAGGTCACCTCAATATCAGATATGTGAACACTAAGAACTCTGCTAAAAGTAATTAAAGGTTTGTTATCTATACTAGAAGACTTCGATTACCCTGTATGAAATTTGTTGAAGCTGTCTTGTAGAGAAGGACTCAATTTGTTATCCTCTATGTCATTGTTTCGCAATTCGTAGAACAATGATTTTCTGATGACATGACCGAACTTACTTGCAAAAGGTTGGACCACCTCAACGCCTTCATCAAGCACTACATTTGGCTGAACAATAAACACTGATAGGCAGCCTAAACCAGATCGCATACCACTTGACGCCTGATCATTCATAAGCTAATCTTTCCAGAATTTTATATCATTTATATAAATTTCTTCAATTTTAAATTTCCGCCTTATTGTCCAGAACATTCCAAAGTTTTGGAATGTATCAAATATTTAGAGTCCAGTAATTTAGTTGGCGTCCAGCAGGTTGACCTTTATATGGGACTATCTTAGGAAGAAATATAGACATATGGTGCAGCCCCACTCATAATTTTGCCTAATGTAAAGTGATAGGTTTTAAGTCATTGTACGGCAAAGACCAATTCGGCTAGCATGCTTACCAAATTTACAGTGGCCAGTAATGTGCGATTCCAAATTAGCTAGTTACAGTCTGTGAAGACCGAGAATATAATAAGGCCGTAACCCTCTATTAAGCATTATAACGTTTTTCTACCGAGCGCGTCCCCGGGTGGCGGATAGGGGGTGGTGATGGACCATATGTCCTTTCACAGTTTTAGTTTGAATCGTCGTCATCCTGCAATCGTGAGCAAAATACTACTACGGAGGTGGGTACCTTGGCCTCCGTGGCGGACAATGCGTCAAGTGTACAGCATGCCATTAGCAAAAACATAGGGGTGAAAGAGAAGTATGTACTCGGAGAGAGCTCTAACCTACCTCAGCCTTTAAATATAGGTGAGGGTTCCGACTCTGAATCCTCAGAAGATAATAACAACACCATTATAGCAAATCCAAAAAAGGATGAAGTAGGGCAAATGGTGAAACAGGTGAGTGATAGCATAGCTAAACTATCTATTACTAAGAAAAGACTATCTGGAGCACAGAGGAGGAAGTTGAAAAAGATGCTTCAGGAAATCATAGTTAGTCAATCCAACGATACTCCTAAGGAAAAATCGGACTCTCTCACAAGATCTCAGGCAAAGAGGATCAGGTCTCCCGAAGAGTTCACAACTGAGAATAAACCTAAGAAGAAAAAGAGCTCCCCGTCTTCTAATACACAGTCGAAGCCAAGCCATACTTCACTCAAAGGAATCTCAAGTCAGAATCCTGAGAGTAAGGGTGACAACGCCAAGATAGATATCCCGAAGACGTGCACGTCGGCGAAATCAACCTCAAAGGTAAGGGAATCTCAAAAGAAGAACCGAAAAACGAGGAAGGAGAAGCTAGACGGAGGAAAAGGAAAAGAGCCGCCATCTTACGCCAAAATTGCCAAAAGAAGACACCGGTACGATCTCTGTTATGCAGTTTACGATGCCGGTAATCCGACAGGCAAAATTCCAATAGACCAACAGAGTAAAGTAGAAGATCTGGTGAACATTATCTGGTGGACCACGCAATCGCTTCAAAGGGCCAACAACCAATAGAGAGCGTGAGCTGCGAGTTCCGAATGGGCGTGATGTGGTTGAGGTTGGCATCTCACCAATGTGTGAGCACCCTAAAGAACTTGGTGGAAAGTATCCCTCCTCCCTGGGGAGGCGCTAAGCTGGGACTGGCAAAGAAGAGCAAGTCCACTGTTTACATGAAAGGATGGGGCAGTAAACTGACTGAAGATGAAGCGACAATGACCAAAACCTAATAACAATATACCTTTTCATGAGTGCGATGTACGGTGAACTAGAAACAATTTTCAAGTGTCGAGAGAAGCATTCAACTTCAGTCCAATCGTACTCCTTTCTATTTACTAAACAAATATCCTGTTAGTCTAGGAATAAATTGTTTATAGATTACCGAAAATATTCTCTTCGTGTATTTTTCTCGGAACTCTAAGATGCTCATATAATTTATTATATGAGCAGCTTGAATATATCTAATTTCAGCATTTGAGCACCACTGTAATTGTAATATCCTAACAGCATTAGAATTTTAAAAACAAAAGTAAAGCATAAACATTTCTGAAATATTTCATTTGCTCTTTAAACAGTCGTTGTATGTGCCAAAATATGTACATAGTTTCCTAAAACTTATTGAAAGAATACCAACCCACAGCAAACAAACAAGTAAATACAAAATATTCAATAAATCATAAATTCAACATTATTTTGCATTTTTAAAATATTTTATGTGCATATTTCTTTGAAAGTAATAAAATGCATTCATGAACATTTAAAATTTTATATTGGAAATTTTCTACTATACCTTCGAATGCGATTGTTGTATATGGATTGTTCAGGGGGGTCCGCCCCTAGTACAATTGGTTGCTATTGTTGTGGATTCGAATTTTGTGTTGTTATTGCTGTATTTCTTTTTTTTGTTGCAATCGAAATATATTGCAAATAGAGTTTGTTAACGATTATTGGCTGGGACAACATTTAAAACTGTACAAAAACTGATGCAGCTGATGTTGATGTGTATGTGTTTGAAGTTGGTCAATGAACGACATTCTGGACTAAAGTCACGAAATATTGAGTGAAAATATCTTGTGGTTGTTGTTTTGTAGACATGCATATGTATGAGTTTTGTTTATTGTTTTTTTTCTTTTTTTTGGTTTTCAGCGTTTATTGATGTGGTATTTGTGCAGTTTAGTAACCCGTAGCATCAAACAAATCTGGCAATACTAATGGCGGACAATTATGAGGACTACAGGTTACGCGCGGTGTGTCATCCGATGTTGAGCCATCAATGCAAATACATTGCAAACAATTACCAGTATCCTGTGGTAAAATATCGCCTATTTTGTAAAGTGTACCTGAAACAAAAAGAACAAAATACAAACATAAATTCATATATATATTGATTTAAAATGTTGAAAAAATTGTGCAAATTTAAAGCAAACAAAAGAAGACAAAAAAGAATTTCCATAAACAATAATGCTATTGGAGAAGATGGAGTCATGATGTTTGTAATCAATGAAAAGGCCTAAAGTATTTTGAAGCATTAATGCTTAAACACTTTATCTAAAGGCTTTTTATTTCTTTCTTTCTTAAATACAGGATTTATGCCAACAACAGTGGTCAGGCCAAGTGATTTTCAATATAACATACCAGGTTAAATTGATTGGAAACAGCCAAAGTCAAACTTTAATTGTCTTAACAACTCTGTTGAAAGCAATTCTGTAAAAATGGAGATAAGAACTTATCAAACTTAATTTCCATTCTCCACTAATGGATTGTATGCAAATTGAAATTGTAGTAAAGCCAATCAAACACCTCTTATCCCACTGTTGCTTATATCACTTTCCACATCAGTTCTTTGCAACAAGAACGCAAAAAAAAACTGAGAAGAAAAAGTAAACAAATACAATCATTGAACCCTTTTTTCAAAGTATATTCTCTTGTCTCGTGTAATGCGAAAAAACGAGAAAATTAATGTATGCACAAGGAATAAATTCCTTCACTCCGTTTTCATCATCAGCATTACATGACATTTCCATTTCCTTACGCTTCAGCATTTGTTGACGAACGGAAAGCTTAAGGCAAAGCAAAATACTAGAAAATCTAGGTGATACATCATCACTCTGGCAAATATTTCAAAATTTTTATACTTGACAATAGACCTACATAATTTGTACATTTTCTTAGCTTTGTTTTTCTCACTTTCCCTTAATACCCTACACATTGAGGGTGTGACATAAGAAGGGTTGTCATTTTATTGACAAAAAGATTTAGGTATATAGTATTATGAAACGAAGTATAGCCATTTTACTGGTAAAATATATTCAATAATTCTTAAATATTATTAGACAGCATCATATTTGAAAAGGTATTAGGCGTTTATAGTGTTTTGTCACTTTAACGTCATCTTAATCAAGGTCGATATATTAGGTTTCATCTATTCATCTTAAGTAACCTATTTGTACTAATGAACACAATGTTTTCCAGAACAACTTTTATATAATACTCTTGGTTCATTACACAGCGAGAGTTCTTCTTGTCGAAAATGACCCACTTGCCACATTATATCACAATCACAACCTTAATATATGTATACTAAGAAATGTGAGATTTTTACTCATTTAAAGTTTAAGAATTGGTTAAGATCATTTCGAGCCACTAATCAATTGCTTTACCGGATAAGATTATATTCCATCAGGTTTTTCCCTGACTTCAACCTGACTAAGAACAGTTCGCCATCATTCGGGTCACAACATATAAACATATGGGCAATTTCGTGTCAAGAGACCCAACTTTTAAAATCGATATTTTCGGATTTGCACCAAGGTAATAAATTTTCAGCTGTATCAGTCAAGAACTGGCAAAGTTAGTGCGGGTCAGAGTTGGACATTTTGGTCATATAGGTTTTTTTTACATATGAGTGTAACTTTTTACCTAATGGTCCTACCAAAAATTGTCTAAAGGAATTTTGATAGCTATTTCCAAAAATATGATATGATAACCTGGATGCTAATTTTGTAAGTTAATTAGTTAGTTAGTTAGTTAGTTAGTTAGTTAGTTAGTTAGTTAGTTAGTTAGTTAGTTAGTTAGTTAGTTAGTTAGTTAGTTAGTTAGTTAGTTAGTTAGTTAGTTAGTTAGTTAGTTAGTTAGTTAGTTAGTAGTAGTTAGTTAGGTTAGTTAGTAGTTAGTTAGTTAGTTAGTTAGTTAGTTAGTTAGTTAGTTAGTTAGTTAGTTAGTTAGTTAGTTAGTTAGTTAGTTAGTAGTTAGTAGTTAGTTAGTTAGTTAGTAGTTAGTTAGTTAGTTAGTTAGTTAGTAGTTAGTTAGTTAGTTAGTTAGTTAGTTAGTTAGTTAGTTAGTTAGTTAGTTAGTTAGTAGTTAGTTTAGTTAGTTAGTAGTTAGTTAGTTAGTTAGTAGTAGTTAGTTAGTTAGTTAGTTAGTTAGTTAGTTAGTTAGTAGTAGTTAGTTAGTTAGTTAGTTAGTTAGTTAGTTATGTTAGTTAGTTAGTTAGTTAGTTAGTTAGGTAGTTAGTTAGTTAGTTAGTAGTTAGTTAGTTAGTTAGTTAGTTAGTTAGTTAGTTAGTTAGTTAGTTAGTTAGTTAGTTAGTTAGTAGTAGTTAGTTAGTTAGTTAGTTAGTTAGTTAGTTAGTTAGTTAGTTAGTTAGTAGTTAGTTAGTTAGTTAGTTAGTTAGTTAGTTAGTTAGTTAGTTAGTTAGTTAGTTAGTTAGTTAGTTAGTTAGTTAGTTAGTTAGTTAGTTAGTTAGTTAGTTAGTTAGTTAGTTAGTTAGTTAGTTAGTTAGTTAGTTAGTAGTTAGTTAGTTAGTTAGTTAGTTAGTTAGTTAGTTAGTTAGTTAGTTAGTTAGTAGTTAGTAGTTAGTTAGTTAGTTAGTTAGTTAGTTAGTTAGTAGTTAGTTAGTTAGTTAGTTAGTTAGTTAGTTAGTTAGTTAGTTAGTTAGTTAGTTAGTTAGTTAGTTAGTTAGTTAGTTAGTTAGTTAGTTAGTAGTTAGTTAGTTAGTTAGTTAGTTAGTTAGTTAGTTAGTTAGTTAGTTAGTTAGTTAGTTAGTTAGTTAGTTAGTTAGTTAGTTAGTTAGTTAGTTAGTTAGTTAGTTAGTTAGTTAGTTAGTTAGTTAGTTAGTTAGTTAGTTAGTTAGTTAGTTAGTTAGTTAGTTAGTTAGTTAGTTAGTTAGTTAGTTAGTTAGTTAGTTAGTTAGTTAGTTAGTTAGTTAGTTAGTTAGTTAGTTAGTTAGTTAGTTAGTTAGTTAGTTAGTTAGTTAGTTAGTTAGTTAGTTAGTTAGTTAGTTAGTTAGTTAGTTAGTTAGTAGTTAGTTAGTTAGTTAGTTAGTTAGTTAGTTAGTTAGTTAGTTAGTTAGTAGTTAGTTAGTTAGTTAGTTAGTTAGTTAGTTAGTAGTTAGTTAGTTAGTTAGTTAGTTAGTTAGTTAGTTAGTTAGTTAGTTAGTTAGTTAGTTAGTTAGTTAGTTAGTTAGTTAGTTAGTTAGTTAGTTAGTTAGTTAGTTAGTTAGTTAGTAGTTAGTTAGTTAGTTAGTTAGTTAGTTAGTTAGTTAGTTAGTTAGTTAGTTAGTTAGTTAGTTAGTTAGTTAGTTAGTTAGTTAGTTAGTTAGTTAGTTAGTTAGTTAGTTAGTTAGTTAGTTAGTTAGTTAGTTAGTTAGTTAGTTAGTTAGTTAGTTAGTTAGTTAGTTAGTTAGTTAGTTAGTTAGTTAGTAGTTAGTTAGTTTAGTTAGTTAGTTAGTTAGTTAGTTAGTAGTTAGTTAGTTAGTTAGTTAGTTAGTTAGTTAGTTAGTTAGTTAGTTAGTTAGTTAGTTAGTTAGTTAGTTAGTAGTTAGTTAGTTAGTTAGTTAGTTAGTTAGTTAGTTAGTTAGTTAGTTAGTTAGTTAGTTAGTTAGTTAGGTTAGTTAGTTAGTTAGTTAGTAGTTAGTTAGTTAGTTAGTTAGTTAGTTAGTTAGTTAGTTAGTTAGTTAGTTAGTTAGTTAGTTAGTTAGTAGTTAGTTAGTTAGTAGTTAGTTAGTTAGTTAGTTAGTTAGTTAGTTAGTTAGTTAGTTAGTTAGTTAGTTAGTTAGTTAGTAGTTAGTAGTTAGTTAGTTAGTTAGTTAGTAGTTAGGGATGTATGCTTTTTTCATCTAGACGTGTTAACGTGATATTATTATCTCATATAACTCATACGTCCAGCATTTTTTATTCGATTAAACCTGTGTAAGGTACAGGTTGCAATGTTTATACTCATCAATAAATATTATAAAAATAAATATTATTTAAAATTTCAATCATATTTGATGCGTTGTCAAAATGTTACCAATTGTGGTGAGTTCACTTTTGACAACGGATAGTATAACTTTCAGTACATTTCTATCGGTTTCTCATAACTCGCATAGAGGACAATATTTCGAAATTTACTTTATATGGCAGTTTTATAAGATTCTTAATTTTAAATTATTATTTCATTTAGAATTAAATTAAATGAAAACGTATGAAATAACTTTCATTATTTAAGTTTTTGTTGAAAGAAAAAAAAATAACATTTTAAACAAACAAACAAAAACACAAAAACAATACATACAATTTTTATTCAACTTCTATTTAACTCATTTCTGATTTAAAAAAGAATTTAGAGATACCAAATTTCAATGGGAAAATTTACCAGTTTTTCATTATTTGTTGAAAAATTTTTTCTTGGAAATCTTTTTATGTTTGTATTTATAGCCTAGTAATGTTCGTATCCTAGAGCTAGGATAGGTTCTCATTAATTTAAATACATGATTAAAAGTTTGTGGAAAAATTGAGTGCCTAACGAAATCTTCTATGAGGAACTGTTGGAATATTATTCCATAGGGTATTCAGTTTGACTGAATTTTTAAATATTTATGTATGTTGACTTTTTGCATCAACATATTTACTTAAGAGTGTGTGTGTGAGTGCGGAAAAGTATGTACTTGGTTAAAATGAGATCGCATTTACTTACATACTAACCAACGTCAACACACTCAACACTCAAGGAAAAACTTTTGGCGTAAAATTCAACTCTTTTTTTTGTTTTTGTTGTTTTTTTTTTTGGGTTAATAGAACAAATAAAACACGACACAGTAAAACACAACAGAAATGTAAATAAACTCAGTTCGACAGTCGTCAGTAAGCCTTCTGCTACCTAACTGCAAGCTCTTCACAAAAGTTTGTTTTCACTACGAGTGTTTATACCCTACACCATTATAGATGGGTATTATGTATTGGTGCTGTTGTTAGAAAAACTTTAAAATTTTGTTAGAATTGATCTATATTTGGTATTCTTTATTATTTTTAGATTGTTCATAGGTCCGATGAAAAAAGATTTACTTCATATGAGCGTAGAGTGTCATATAATCGGACTTAACATACTGTAAATTTCTATTTGTTTTTTCTATATTTTTTTGTATTTTCCGTTTTATTAAAATTATTTAACATTTCAAACACGTTACAAAATTAGCATACATTGTTCCATCGAGTCAGTCATTTCCCTTTTTTTTCGTTTGTTCGTTTCGTTACGTTTTGTTTTATTCGTAATTTAAAAAGGTTTAAAAACAATAAACAACTCTTGCTATTCTTTGGCTGCTGATTATTGCTGACGATTTGACTATATGACTGACTGACGGACTGACTAACTAACTGACTTGACTGGCTGTATGAATGCTGTTGACTTAATTGTTGGTTTGGAAAACAAATAAAAACAATTTGTGTTTGTTGTGCGAGGGTGCAAAGAGCTCCTTATACCTTAAAGGCATCGTTTACTTTTATGTATTTTACTTATATTTAAGGACTTAAATATAATACTGTGTGTGCTTTTAGGCCATAATCAGGTTTTATTTTAACGTATTTTTCTATTAATACACCAACACACGTTTTAGAAAATGTATTTTAAGAATATTTGTATGTATGTATTTGTAAGGATTAAAGTGTTAGAAACGTCAAAAATATTAAGTTTAGATGATAGATCGCTCAATTAAACTTTAAAATTTGTTATGATTATTATATTTGCTTAGAAACTATAAACAGTTGCTGCACTTGAAAGCAAATAAATTTAAAATTTAAAATCTACTTCTTTAGATGTCAAAGTTTAATTTAAATCGTTTAAAACTTCCCCCAATGAAATGTAAAGTATGTCAGCTCAGGTTCAAAGTTTTTTTTTTTTAATTGTACCCTTTACCTTCATGAGATCCTTTATAGCATGTATTTCGAGCCATTACTGATAGCGGAGTCGATTAAGCTATGTCCGTCTGTCCGTCCATCTGTCTGTCCGTCCGTCTGTCTGTTGAAATGAATTTTCTGAAGACCCCAGTTATCTTTGGAATCCAAATCTTCAATAATTCTATCAAAAGAGCTTATGAGAAGTCCTTTATTTAAAATCAGCCATAAATAATGGAGTTATGAGCAAAAATACGAGACCACCTCTAAAAACTCCATAAAAAAAACAACAATGGGACACAGCATCATATGGTAAATTTTGTTCTTGTAGTTAGTTTGCTTGTTTATATCTATTAAAGGGGACGTTCTTCAGAATATACATTTTAAATTTTCTAAAATATTGAACCAAGAGACATGAAATTAAGCGTGAATATCCTGTAGTTTTTCATTATACAAAAGGACTTTTTTGAGTTTTCTATAATAGTGAAACTAGAAACATGAAATTGATCAGGTTGTATAGTGTTGCTTTTGAAAGGCGAATTGACAGCCTTTTAATTCTCAATCTAATAGATGCATTTTGTTCAAAGTCAGACGCAATAGTAGTATGTTATCATAATACATTGACTAATCCTCACAAGATTTTACAAATACTTTGGTTTCAATAAAACTTGTTATATTGGATTGTATTGCGATCCATGTTCCTTAAGCCAGTTTTAACTATGTTAAAGCCATTTTCTGAGGAGGACTAAGTGATTTTAGTCCCAATAAAACTTGTTCATGTCGAATTTCATCGCTGTATATGTATTTTAAGCCTGGTTTTGAGAATTAAAATTAATTTCTGAAGAGGAGCACATATAGGGCCAATTATAGACCAATTCTTATAAAATTTGAGAGAGATTTTAGTTCAGATTAAACTTGTTTATGGCGAATATCTTTTCTAATTTTTTGAAATAGACCTTATATAGAGTCAGCTTTAACTGAATACTCTTCCAAAGGTAAGGTTTACATCATATGGCTACCAGCCCACTTGGAAGTAGTCGGCAACGAAAGGCCGAATGTAATAGCTATAAAGCGAAGGGAGCTCGAGGCAGTTAACCTGACAAACGCAAAACCATTCGACGCAACAAAAGCTGAACTAAAAATATGGGTGAGAGAATCCCATAAGACCCCTTGAAATAATGAAACAGTAGGTAGAACCTCAAAGATCCTATGGGGTGATCCTGATGAGAGCAAGACAAAAAATCTCTTCAAAATGCGTCTGAAGTTAGTATGATTGTTCGTATTCTGAGTGGACACACAGGATTACGAGCACATCTATGTAAAATTGGACATGCGGATTCAGACGAATGTAGAGCATGTGGAGAGGACAGTGAAACTCTGGAGCACTTCTTTGCCACTGTCAGGCATTAGTTAGATCCAAGTATCTTGGAAGTGATGTTATTCCGGAAATAACAATTGGCAGATTCTTAGGAATTACGAGTTTCTGAACACTGAAAAATAATTCAATCAGTGAAATGTTTTTTTTTTTTTCATGAAAAGGAGCACATAACAAGCCCGATAGTGGCCTAGGTGTATTTCTTCGGATTCGATGTAGTATACATCCTGCTATCATCTTAACCTAACCTTTATGGGGTCAATTATTAACCGATCCTTCGTTGCTAAACTGGCATTTTGAAGCAAGTTATGAGCGTTATAGTCATTTTCTGAAGGGGACCTTATATGGGGGTCAATTATAAACCGACCCTTATAAAATTTGACAGAGTGTATTTAGTTCCGATAAAACATATACAGAGGGGAGCCTTATATGGTGTAGGGTCAATTATGGACCGATCCGCATAAAATTTGACAAAAACATTTTGGTTCCAATAAAACTTCATTATGTCGAATTTCATTGCTATACATGCTTTATTAAGCCAGTTATCCCCATTATAGTAATTTTCTGAAGAGGTGATTTTCAATACCAAACAACCTGCATCAAGTACATAGTATGTCTATGCAAAATTTCAGCTCTCTATATGGTCCCGTTTGGATTCTATCGTGTTTTCAACAGAAAGACATTGACGGACATGGCTAGATCATTTTAGAATATACACATATACAAATTATAGCAATATTTCGATGTGTTACAAATGGAATGACAAAATTAATACACCCCCCACTTTTGATGGTGGGTATAAGTACAATTCCGCATTTCTGCAGAAATTTAGAAAAATAACGCAGGCAAATACCTCTGAAATACCACTGAAGGTATGCAACCATACTATGGTCTCTATCATACTTCAGTCTATTAAACTTATTCATCCACCGAAGCCATCTTTGATTTGGCGAAAGTTCGCAGACATTTTATTAGCCCGTGATATTTCATTAGCCAATGTATATGAGGCATTTAACCAAGATGTTTTTTTCGCGATTTGGGTTTCTATCAAAGTCACCACATAATCGCCGAAGAATCCTCACTACCTCTAATCTAAATAGGACACTGTCCTGCGTGAAACTGGGTTCTGTATAAGCAGAACTTCGGTCAAGCGAGAAACCTTAACAATCGTTAATTCTTATACTTCTGAATTGCACAAATGTCAAGGTGCAGGAAGTTCATCAATATATCTCGTCTCAGGGGAGGCCGCAATGAGGTTTCATATCTTCTCTCTTATGAAACCTTTTCTGAGCTTCTTGTCACAGATGAAATTCTTCTAATGATAAGTGATCTCATGAAATCCACCTTTCACGAATGATTATTATGGGTCATGAAAAACCATCTTGGTCAACCCGACAAAAACCAAATCGGAACTTTTTACCAGAAGATATATATAATTCCAGAATTTCTGGTAGCTCGGTTGGATGGTGCAGTTTTGGAATTGGTATCTTTCATGGAATCATAATATTAAGAGTCGAATGAATTAGAGGCTGTTTCTTCTATTCTTGAAAAAAAACTTATGTAAAAGTTTATAACTTATATTGTTCACTGGATCATAGTTTACTGTCACAGAACCTATTTAGACTGATTTCTTACTAGTCTACTTAAAGAAAAATAAAAAAAAGAAAAAGGTGGGAAACAAATCATGATCTTGATCTATCAAATATAATAAAAGTGCCGGGGAGTTCTCATGGAGATTTACAAGATTTACTACATCATGCTAAACGGTCAATTGGTTTTCGAGTATTCTCCCTATTCCAGCGATCCATGAAACCTGATCTGTAATCTAATTCTTGTGACGTAATATCTATTCAACCGACAGAAGGGCCAATATAACTAGATCTCCTAAATTAACCAAAAAATACTCAAAATTCACATCCAAGGAATCGCTAATCTATGAAAGGGTTTGACCAATATGAGAAAGTTTAATTCTAAAAATTGTCATAGTTATCTGATGTAAAATTTTTAACTTAATTCCAAGTTTATATTTAAATAAAATTTATTTATTTTAAACACTTAACACAATAACTCTTACCCATAACATTGCATTGTCGTTCCGGACTCAATGTTGTGCTGAGTGGAGGCGGTGTTGCAGCTGATGCTCCCACTGTTGTCGCTGATGTTGCATTTGTTTGTGACACCACCGCCGATATATGGTTAAAGCTAAAGCTATCGCTACTACTTGATAAACTATGGGTGGTAGCGGCGCTATTGCTGCTGTTGCTGCTACTATCGCCACTTGACAAGTTGACACCCACATTTTTTTGTTGAGCTGTTTGTCGCTCTTTTAAATTTAGACCATCACCAACAACAATGTTGGTAATAGTTTGGTTGCTATTGCCGCTGCTGCTGCTACTCTTGTTATAGTTTTTGGTATTGTCATTTATTATTGAGTATAAAGGATTGTTATTATCAACATCATTTGTATTGGAAATTAAAGTTGGTGGTTGCATGAATTTTAGTTGTGTTTTAGCAATTTGTTTTTCATGTTTAAAATCCTGCTGCAGCTGCCTGTGTTGGTTGGTGGTTTCAATATTCGTTTCCTGTGGTTGTTCTTGTTGTTGCTGCTGTGAATCAGCAGATGATGCTGTTAACATTATATCAATATTTACAACACTAGCAACACCATTATCTTCATTGCTAGTTGTCGAACTGATTCCCATGCTGTTGCCGCTGCTGCTACTGGTTGGCCTGTCCATGTTATTATTATTTCTATTATAGTTTTGATATGGATTACTGCTGAATGGTGAAATATTGTTGTTGTTGCTGTAGCCATTGCTATTAATAATTCCATTACTGTTGCTGTTGTAACTATTATTATCACTAAAATTTTGTTCATATTTTGGTTTTTGACTATTTTCATACATATCGCCATTATCATCATAAATTGCTACTGGTCGTTCTCTTCCAACTTCTCCTCCGGTCATGTCAAATGCATTAATTGTTGTTGTCGTTGTTACTGCTGCCGCTCCTATTGTTGTTAAGGGTCTTGATGTTGCCTTTGTTTTAGTGATTGCTGTTGAAAGTCCTGTTTCTGTTTCCAAGTCAAAATTTTCATAATTTCTATCTTCCGCATTATAATCACTATTGCTGGCATCCAATAAACCACTACCACCACCACCAGCAGCTGAAGCAAAACCACCAGCATCATCTCTTCCGCTGATTGCATCATTTAGAGTGAAATTATTTTTATTATTTGTCTCTGTGGATGTCAACCAACGATGGAAGGCATCATCTTGATCATCTGTATCTATTATGTCTTCAGTACTTTCATTATTATTATTGTTGTCATTATTATTGTTGTTGTTGTTGCTGCCATTGTTGTTTATTTTATCTGTGTTTGGTTTATTATAGTCCCAAGGTGAAAAAATTTGTTTCTGTTTGTTGATTTTAATGATTTTTTTGTTGTTATTGTTTTTGTTTTGGGGCAACGATTTGTCGTTTATGACGTGTCGCAAAAACGTGCGAAATATGAAAATGAAATAAAAAAAATGAATAGAGAACAAAAGTATTTAATTAGAAATTTATGTATATTTTATGGGTATATAGTTCAAAACATTAAATATATTTAGAAATACATAGTTTAATTTATAAAGAAAAATATTTTACAATTAAAATAAAACACCGCATTTATTATGTAATTAAAATAAATAGTGTCAAGCAAGGTGTGGGAAATATAATGTTTTTGGGCACTATGTATACTGGTGTATCCCGTGGAGTATCCTCAGATTGTGAAAGCGATTAAAATTTTGATCTAAGCTAAAATTATTTAAAAGAAAAAAATTTGTGATATGGATCTCAAAAATTCCATAAAAAATTTAAAAGACTTCGTGATTTAGTCACACAAAATGTATTGTAATGTTATTTAAAAGTCGGATACCAAAGGAAGGCGCCACCAAAGATGGACTTATGTTTTCATACCCTCCACCACTATCAGTAGTGATAGAGGGTATATATAAGTTTGTCGTTGCGTATGTAACATCAAAAAATATTCATCTAAGACCCAACAAAGTATATATAGGTATTCTGGGTCTTTATGAAATTCTGAGTCGATTTAGCTATGTCCATCTGTCTGTCTGTGTAAAACACGCTCACGTTAAAACTAAGCAAAGGATATAAACTAAATTCACCCAGAATATTTACTGTTATACTAAGCAGTTTTGTATTGAAAATCAGCAAAATCTTTTCACAACGTAAAAAGTTATTAGTAAAAATTTCAGACTACTTCGAAAAAAAAAATTCGTTTTTTTCATAATTCTTAAGAAGTTGTCTCAGAAACTACCAATGATATTTCGATGAATTTTGTTACACATTATTTTTTCCAGGTAGTGATCAATTTTGTTCAAAATATTTACAATCTATCCAATATTTCCCTTAGCCCTCATAGAAAGGTATATATTTGCCGGAAATTAGTTTATCATTAATAACTCCCTCAAATATATCGGTATCAACACAAAATTTTGTACATGTAAATATAATATGAAAAATCGTACTATCAACGTAGATCTCAGTCGGTCCACATTGGTCATAACTCCCATATAATGCCCACTTCTGAAAATCACCTAAACGCACATATTTCATTGATATACATATATAGCTAAAAGTGATAAAATTCGAGTTGAATATGTTTTGTGTACATACAAATCATTCTACCAAATTTTTTACGGATCGGTCCATTATTGGTCATAGTTCCTATATAAGGTCCACTTCCGAAAATCACTTAAAAGCACATATTTCATTGTCAAATAAAGCTATCTGGATAAAATTCGACACAAATATGTTTTGTCTAAATATGATTCATTCTATGAAATTTTTTCTGGATAGGCCCATAATTGGTGATATACGGCTCACATATACGGTCCACTTCCGAAAATCACATAAAAGCATATATTTCATTGAATTCTAAAGCTATAGGGATAAAGTTCGACTTGAATACGTTTTGTGTACATATATGTAAATCATTCTACCAATTTTTTCCCGAATCGGTCCATTATTGGTCATAGCTCCCATATTGTCAAATATTTTGTCTTTATAATAATCACACTACGAGATTTTTTCCGGATAGGCTTCCATATAAGGTCCACTTACGAAAATCACTTAAACGCTATTAAATAATAAAGCTATCGGCATAAAATACGACTTGAATATGTTTTGTGAGCATATAAATCATTATACCAAATTTTTTCTGGATCGGTCCATATTTGGTAATAGCTCCTATATAAGGTCCACTTCAAAATATCATTTAAACGCACATACATATTTCATTATCAAATAAAGATATCTTGATAAAATTCGACACAAATATGTTTTGTGTACATATGAATCACTCTACGAAACTTTTCCGGATAGGCCCGTGATCGTAGCTCCAGTATAAAGTCCACTTCTTTTTTTTTGTTTTGTATATAAATCATTGTACGAAATTTTTCCCTTATCGGCCAGAGTCAAAAATAAAGAAGACAGTTTAATGGCTGACCATGATTGAGGTCATCCAACTAAATCTCCATTACAGCGATACGACAGTCAACACTCTGATAGCTATAATCTAGGAACCTTAGAACTTTCATACAGGGTCTCGCCCGAGAACACGTATTTTACTTCATCAGACACACACTATGTTACATTGATGATCTTCCCTCATCTTGGTGTTATTGCAATCCGGGAGAAAATAGATGCTACCAATACCTCTAGTCTGCCGGGACTCTAAACTGGTGATGGTCAAATGTATTTTTAGTCTTTCCTTGGAATCATTTGACATAGGGTCGTACCAGGAAAGCAGATAAACTGGTACCACGAGAAGCGGTAGCCCACAGGGCAGAGTTTCGAACTTTGTCTTGTCCCGGTTATCGGACGTGGTAGCAGTAGTTTAAACCTTAATTCGCTGGAAGCGAATGTTGGATAAAAGACTGATACATGGTAAAGTCCATAATTCGGGATAAGTTCGGTGCTGTTGCCGTAAACCAGAGATACCCCACAGAGGAGTGATTGTGGGACTAAGCGTTGGAAATAAGTTGCTGTCAATTGTATATGAAACGCGGACCTCACCCTTCACCGTATACCTAGAGTGATTATGTAGGATGTTTTTCTCAATGAGTGTGATTCGAAATGAGAAGTGTGCCTTGACAGGGTTTGTTCAGGTATTACTCTGTTCATACCAGATTTAGCACAGTGTCTTCTCTGTGAGTAAGTACAAGTCCTCGTCTTATTTTAAGTCTCTAGGAGCTGTTGTCGAATCAATAGATGTCATACCATCTGTGTAGTTGTAAGCGGAAGTGATGGGTAGGCAGAACCGGAATGTAAGTTGACTAAAAGCGACGGTGGTGAGTCTTCTAATAAGCTCACCCTGTGTTTATAAAAGTACTACCGTCAAATAAGGCCAACATGGCAGGTATTCTCGTAAAGCACTTCTACTTCTCAACCAAACACAGAATGCGAAATGAGACAGAACGAGAAGCCTCCTCAGAATAAGCAAGTCCTTGGTTAATATGATTTTACGTATTCTAAGTGAACACACAGGTTTACGGACCGATTCCGACTAAGAGAATGTAAAGAGAACAGTAAAACTCTGAAAACATTCTTTGTCAGGGGCAGGCTTTCGTCGAAATTATATCAAAATATCTTGGAAGCGATATTTTTCTGGATATAACATCACTCACAATGATCTGAATAATGATTGGAAAATTCTGAACATTGGACAATAGATCACCATATAAGGATTTTACCGCGGTGCTTTTCCATGTAAAGCAGCGCACAAGAGACCGTAGAGTTACAAACGGAATGTCAATATCTTTTGATGGTGGGTATATTTTTCGGTAGTTTCATGTTTCATTTAACTTTTTGCAAATGCTTTTTTAACGTCATATTCACATGACAATATTTATGGAGAATAAGATAACTTAGGCTTATAAGACATTTTCATTTTGTTTTCTTATTATTCATGTTAAATACGAGACTATAAGTATTAATCCTTTTGCTATGACTATATCCCTTTCATAACCTTAAATTATGTATATTTTAACCCCAAAAACAAAAAGAGAGCTGAAGCAAAAAAAACCCATCATAATTTTATATAACCATAGAAAAGCCCCAGAAATAAACTTTAAGGTTATAGAAGACCACAAAAGTAAACATAAAATACATTTGCAAAAACTAATATACATTTATGTTAGTGTAATCATCGTATGAGTCTGTCTATATGAGTTTATATCCTTTCCCCTAAGGATTAAAGATAGTTAGATATGCATAAGTAAATTGTTAGATAAATTCTTACGGCTTTTAAAACTTGTAGCAATTTAAGACCTTCGACCAAGAAATGGCTATATTTGGGAATGATGTTTAATTATTTTTTCCTTCTATTTATTTATCTATGTTTATATAATTTTGATTTTCATTTAATTAAATTATTTCGATAAATAATGCCTAAAAGCCTTTGGCAAACATATTAAATACATGCATATGTATGTATATTTTAACACATTTTCTTCTCAACATAGACAAATTATTATTATTAATCAGAAAATGATTAAAGTACATATGTAAGTATGTAAAATAATAGCTTGTCAATATTTAAGAAAATTTAGTAGTCATCTTCATTATATTTATAAAATAATATTTTTCATGAATTAAAACCCTTAAGCTGAATCTTATGAACAAAAATAATATTATTCTTTTTTATACCTATCATCAAAAAAGATGGGGGTATTTGATTTTGTCATTCCGTTTGTAACATAACGAAATATTGGTCACACACCCATAAAAGTATATATATTCTGGGTCCTTATTAAATTCTAAGACGATCTAGCCATGTCCGTTCGTCTGTCTGTTGAAAGCGAACGAAATGAGCTAGAGGGTTGAAAATTTCCACAAATATTCTCTATATGTAAGGTTTGTTTGGCATTGAAAATGGGCAATATCAGTAAACGTTTTCGGATATCCCCCATACAAGGGGCCCCCGAAAAACATCTTTAACGGTCATATCTGTTTTAAAAGTACGAGTATAGCAATGAAATTCGACACAAATAAGTTTCATATAATCTAAAATCTCCCTACCAAATTTATGAGGATCGGTCCATAATTGACCCTACCCCCCTATAAGGTCCCCTACGGAAAATCACTATAACGCTCATTACTGGCTTAAAAATAAAAATATAACAATGAAATTCGACAAATATAAGTTTCATGCGAGTCAAAATCTTTCTACCAAATTTTATACGGATCGGTACATAATTTACCCTACCCCCCATATAAGGTCCCCTTCAAAAAATGACTTTAACGCTCATTACTGTCTTAAAAATACGAGTATAGCAATGAAATTTGACATAAGTAAATCTCTAACGACCCAAAACCTCTCTACTAAATTTTATATGGATCGGTCCATAAT